CGTGTCAGATAGAGACATAGGGTTCTTTCATGAAACCGATTCCAGCTTTAAGAGAGAGAGAGAGAGAGAGAGAGAGAGAGGTGGTGCAACGTTTCACGTAGCGATAGGGTCATCGAAACAAATCATGCGTCTCCCTCTGTCACTGCACTAGAATCATAGGGAGCAGGAACAAAAGAGGTGGATTTCCGTCAAGCAACAAAGATGTTCTCAAACTTTTGGGTTTGCAAGCGTTGATTGAAGAGATAGGAATTGGCTTTGGATAACCCGTTCATATTTACAAGCGCTAATTAGAGAAAAGAGCACCAAAAAGAAACCCCATATTTGACGATATCTTACCTTGGATTAGTGATGTATAAGTCACCATGTGTTAAAACCACGCAACACAGGAGGAATCCCAGCGTCTTCATTTTTCTCTGTTGGCCGGCCAAAGTAACGATAAAATTTAAATGTTGCGAAACAAACCCCAGCGGTCGATTTAAATAGTTCCCATCACTCCGTATTCCTTCTTCGCCAGGAAATCTAGTCCATCATACTTAATGAATATTCAGATTTTTTTTAAATTTTGTTTTCAATAATCCTGATCACTGACGGTTCACCCTCGCGAAAAAAACAAGTGCAAGGGGACTACTTTGATTAAAGGACGCCCACGTATGGAGACGGCTTTCCTTGGACTAGATTAGATGTTTACCAGTAGCGACTGACGTGATTCAATGATCTGATCCCTTGAATGGGTAGAAATGAGAAACGTTTGGCATTATTTTGCATTCATTCACGGCACAGACGGGATCTAATCTTATAACCAATAGTAAGCACTTTAAGAGCTACGTTATACAGACGTTATTTGACAATCATTTTGTGTTGTATGTTCTTGTTGAATGCAGAGGTAATATGACATTCCTTTCTATTGTTAAAAAGGCTTTTCTCCCCTCCGGTAGTTAAAAGAGAGATGAATATGATCATTATATAAATAAATATGTCATTCAATCAATATCTAATAAGATAAATCAACCCTGGGTTGAAGTTTGTGACTGTTGCAAAGATGATACAAGTATATTTGTATGTTCCGTCTCTATTCATCAATACTTCATCGAGTCCCAAAAAAGCAACGACCAAAGGAACGAATGAGACACAACACCTGTCAAAATTGTTTGAAAAATTCCTTTTTAGAAAATCGTTTTTTTTTTCACGATATGTCTATTTTAAGCTGCTTTTGATTCGTATATGAATAACATTTCTGTCCGTAAAAAATGATTTGAAAAAAAATGTATGGGAGGATTAGGCAGAGATTTCGCTGTCATCAAAAATATTCACATTGAGTACTTACTGAAAGTGAACGAACTCTTTTGTGTTGATCTCCAAGGTGTTGGGGACAAAGTCGTACTCCACTCCTGGGTACACCTGTTACTGCGTTTTCCTCTCCCCTTCAAATAATAGATAGTAATGGGTCTTTCTCTAATACGAAACGAGTGAGACCTACGTCGAATGATATAATACAATGCGAATATCAAAAGGCACCTCTGCATGCCTTCCAGTTGGTGTGTTCAAGTGTGTGTGTGTGTGTGTGTGCGCATGTGTGCCCGNTATGTGTGGTTGTGGACGTGAGTAAATATGTAGATACTAGTAGGCCTATGTTACTCACAAAAACGGCCTCAACAGCCTATTGCTATAACGACAGCATGCCTCACGCTTTAACTACAGTCAAGTCCTATTTAAAACGCGTTTCCAAACATGGTGTTTAGTGGTGCTGCTACAATCGTAGGGTTAATGGTGCAAAAAATACGATTATCCCGCGGTCTTCAAGTATTGCTTTTACATGTACATCGTGCTTATACAGACCACTGATAGTCGCATTGTATCCTTTTCTCTATCACGTCAAGCCCGAAATCAAACACCATACGCAGCCTTTTCTTATTCAAAATGGACATCAGTGAAAGTCAGAATACATTTAGTGTCACCTTAGACATTTCAAGGATCAGAAAGTTCATGCCGGAAGACACAAAGAGACATAATACCTTAAATCAACCAACTGCCCCATTCAAACGCCCTACAGCATATTATCAACCCAATGACGCGCATGGATGCCTGTGTAAAGCTCAACGTCAATACACAAAAAAGTATTGGATATAAAGAGAGAGATTCAGTCTCTTTGTGTGCATTGTTCTCACTGTCACGATTCCGATGTTTGCGTATATCAAGGCATCTCGAGCCATATCATTAAGTAATACGATAGTGCTTTAATTTTTTTTCTCTGTTAATAAGGTCTTAAATGAAATTGCGCCTACACCTGTTCTCATGCCCTGTCTCGGGACAGAAAAAAATGAAAGAGACGTTTTCCTATTCTGTTAAATTTGTTCACTCCTCCCGTAATAGCTTCATAAAAACAGAAATGTGGGAAAAAATACTAAAGACGGGCCTACAATAATGCAATCTGATTATTTGTTCCACCTGTGGGTTCTATTTTAGGCAGACTGATATTAAAACATCCTCAAAAATATATTTTCTAACTAGTTGTGGAGGCATGTTTCAATAACTCTTTAGACCAAAGATCGCTTTTGAAATCGATCCTAGCAATTAAAGAGAGAGAGAGAGAAAGAGAGAGAAAGAGACTCGATAGACAAAAATCAAGCAATCAAAACAAAAATCAAGCAATCATAAATTTAACCACATCGCGAGATAGAGCGGGAGAGATGGTTTGACATGCCGGACAGAGATATAGGGTTCTTTTATGAAAAAGAGAGAGAGAGAGAGAGAGAGAGAGGGAGGAGGGGGGAGGGGTTCCAACGTTTCAAATCAGTGGCGGATTTAGGGCTGATAGGGGGGGGGGGGCAACCCCCCTTCGATTTCTGAAAAAAAAAACTAACCAATGATCCCCTCTTGAAATTCGAATTTTAACTAGCTGGATCATAGTTCTAAACCGTACCAAATGGCACCGTTCGCCCTCTAAACTACCAAAATATTTCGGGGCCCGCGCCGAGGAGAGGGGGCGGGGTTGGCTTCGCATTCGTGTACCCCCTTCAAATAATCCTGGATCCGCCCCTACGTATAGAGAGAGGGCCATCGACAACGCAAAACAACTCAGAGGCTTCTCTCTGTCACTGCACTAGAATCATGGAGAGCAGGAACAAAAGAGGTGGATCTCCGTCAAGCAACTAAAATGCTCTCAAATTAACTTTCGGGTTCGCAATCGTTGACTGAAGAAATAGGGATTGGCTTTGGACAGTCCATTCATATTTACGAGCGCTAATTAGAGAAAAGATTACCAAAAAGAAACACCATATTTGACGATATCTTACCTTGGATTAGTGATGTATAAATCACCATGTGTTAAAACCACGCAACACAGGAGGAATCCCAGCGTCTTCATTTTTCCCTGTTGGCCGGCCAAAGTAACGATAAATTTTAATGTTGCAAAACAAGCCCCGGCGGTCCATTTAAATAGTTCCCATCACTCCGTATTCCTTCTTCGCCAGGAAATCTAGTCCATCATACTTAATGAATATTCAGATTTTTTTATTTTGTTTTCAATAATCCTGATCACTGACGGTTCACCCTCGCGAAAAAAACAAGTGCAAGGGGACTACTTTGATTAAAGGACGCCCACGTATGGAGACGGCTTTCCTTGGTCTAGATTAGATGTTCACCAGTAGCGACTGACGTGATTCAATGATCTGATCCCTTGAATGGGTAGAAATGAGAAACGTTTGGCATTATTTTGCATTCATTCACGGCACAGACGGGATCTAATCTTATAACCAATTGTAAGCACTTTAAAAGCTACGTTACACAGACGTTATTTGACAATCATTTTGTGTTGTATGTTCTTGTTGAATGCAGAGGTAATATGACATTCCTTTCTATTGTTAAAAAGGCTTTTTCTCCCCTCCGGTAGTTAAAAGAGAGATGAATATGATCATTATATAAATAAATATGTCATTCAATCAATATCTAATAAGATAAATCAACCCTGGGTTGAAGTTTGTGACTGTTGCAAAGATGATACAAGTATATTTGTATGTTCCGTCTCTATTCATCAATACTTCATCGAGTCCCAAAAAAAAAAAAAGCAACGACCGAAGGAACGAATGAGACACAACACCTGTCAAAATTGTTTGAAAAATTCCTTTTTAGAAAATCGTTTTTTTTTTTTTCACGATATGTCTATTTTAAGCTGCTTTTGATTCGTATATGAATAACATTTCTATCCGTAAAAATGATTTGAAAAAAATGTATATATATGGGAGGACTAGGCAGAGATTTCGCTGTCATCAAAAATATTCACATTGTGTACTTACTGAAAGTGAACGAACTCTTTTGTGTTTATCTCCAGGGTGTTGGGGACAAAGTCGTACTCCACTCCTGGGTACACCTGTTGGTTGTTACATGTACTGCGTTTTCCTCTCCCCTTCAAATTATGGATAATAATGGGTCTTTCTCTAATACGAAACGAGTGAGACCTACGTCGAATGATATAATACAATGCGAATATCAAAAGGCACCTCTGCAAGCCTTCCAGTTGGTGTGTTCAAGTGTGTGTTTGTGTGTGTGTGTGTGTGTGTGTGTGTGTGTGTATGTGTGCACGCGCACCCGTGTGTGTACTGAAATGGACGTAATCCATGACTAAGTTGAAAACGTGTTAATGCAAAGCTCAACATCGCGTTAACTGGCCAGCATTGTGGATCAAGCAAAACAGTTTAACGAGTAAATATAGCATATCGTGATGTGTAGACGTACTGCTCACATGAGTATGTATTCTAGTAACGGTTACTTTGCCTTAATATTCTATTGTGTTCTAAATGAAAAAGTTAACATTTGGAGTATTGTTATGTCAGACGTCCTTTTCACAATGACTAATTGTTTCAAATTTGCTGCAGTATACATGTATATGCACAGTATATACTATGTATAAATTGTATTGGTATTTGATTCTAATGAAACGGAAAATCGTGAGCTGGTTTTTGCAGTTCTGTTTATTATAACTAGAACTTACTTTCCCGATGGAAATCAAGCCTATTTCTTGTTCCACATTTGAATCAGGAATGCCCGCACCGGTTAATTTATATCATTGCAAACTTTTCTTGGCATTACCAAACCACACTAGCAGAATATTACCTTCCGTTCTTGTAATAATTTTCGATAAGGCTGTCAAATCAGAGTTTCCATATTCCAAAATTTCTGACAGACTAAGATATTACTTATGAGCCAGTCGGACTTCAAAACCGCATTTAATTTATTTCAAAGAGTGTTTTTAAATATTCTGAAATTCTACGTGGATCATTGCTGTCCTTAATTAATATCAAAAGAAAGAAAGCACTCTAGATCTCATGCAAGCGAAGTTGTGACCTATTTTGAAGAAGCGTCACGAACGATGATTCTCCCCTTCTGGCTTCTGTTGGTGAAGGCGTTGTTCCTGGTACACATGAAGTGGAACACGCCCTCCTTAGCGAACTGAAGAGGACCTACGTCATAGTAGGCTTTGGCATTGTCCAGCAGAACCATGCTGCCACTGTATCGGGCTAAAATATATGAAAAAAAAAACAAAACAAACTTTTCATAATTAGCGTAATTTTAGTACTGCACAGCACCCCTCTCCAATTTGAAATGAACTATAAGCCTTGATTCGTGAACGAAGTACTGTGCTACCCCCGCCCAATAAATAAATTAATAATTAATTAATTAATAACTAAATATATAAATAAACATAAATAAAAAAGAGAAGAAAAACCGTGAACAGTTTTATGATAAAATATCACCTACTGGTAAAGTTTTCTGATTTATTTGTAAGTAGTTCCCGTCCTAAGTTATAAGTCAAAATTTAAATGTACAATAGCAATTTACAGTTTTATATTTTAAATGTCAATTGATTCTAAATAACAATTGTAAGAGCACTTTGCTAAGAGCTCCTGACGCTAATTGACTTCTTTAAAATACAAGTCAGTGCACTTACGGGGTGCCAACAGCGCCATCTTCTGGAGGACAGCTCTCGTTTCTGTCGAGGCCCCGATCAGGCGGGTCACGTTGTCCAAGTGCATGGGATAGTTAGCTCCATACTGCCCAAGGACATCCAGTCCACCGTAAGCAAGTCCGGGCGTTCCTTCAGGGTAGACCTTGTTCTTAAGCATGACCATGTTGTTACGGTCAGTGCCCCTTCGTCCATTTCCGGCGTTGTTGCGGGGATTTCTATCTGATCCTGTCCATCTGGTAGGAACACAAAATTATATATATATTTATCAATTCATTCATTTATTGATTGAAAAGGTATCAGTTTTCCGTACATTGCAATGCAGTTAAGAAAACTGTTCAAAATAATTATCACAATGGTTAAAAATTAATCAAAATCTACTCCTATAAAGTATAATAATTATTTTACGTATCCAAATATTTTTCAAAAATACCCCTTTTATTGGCAAAAGCTGAGCTCGTACGAACCAAATGTAGTTTGGTAGTATATAAAATTACGGGTAACGTACTGAATATGCACAAAGTCATTAGTGTTTATCTCCAAAGTGTTGGGGACAAAGTCGTATTCCACTGCTGGGTACACCTGTTGGTTGTTACCGCGCTTTCCTCTCACGTTCAAATTGTGGATGGTGACGTCTTTCAGCTCGGCAGGTCTCTGCCTAATTTCGAACACATGGGACCTACGAAAAAACCATTGGAGTGAAAATTCACCAATAATTTACTGATTATTATATTTTGCCGAGTCTTCACTTTCTTGTGGTTATTGTCATTGAGAACGCTGACTGTTATGTATTTTTTCTATTGTCACGCATCAGAGTTACCCAAAAAAAAAAAAACATTTCTATGAGCAATATTTAATAACTGTATAATTGCTACGTTAAATATGATATTCATTTTCAATAATGATATAATTTGAGACCATATCATAGAATTATTTACATTCTTTTGCCTCCATTATATGACTATTTATTTTGCTGCTTTAATTTATTTATATGCTGCTCATAGGCCTTCGTGCAAGTACCAAAGAGATGTTTAAAACGATAAAATAAAATCATAATATTGTTGGATAAAGAAGAAAAAACGATATGGTGCTTAATACAAATAGCATATTTTAAGACAGATTATCGTTCCAACATAGGTACCATTCACATCTCTGTATTATCTTATCAAGAGAAGCAATTCATAGGATGTGCTGTTCGCAGAGGACGCCTCTAAAAGGTGGTGTCCTATGAATATCGCATGCACAATTTGTCCTTATTTGTTATACTTAGTCATATCAGCAGCATGATTTTTCAGAATGTAATTTAAATGGTATGTCTACCTGTCCTGAAAAGTACGTCCAAACTGAGCCGTGTTGATGGCCAATGCAAGCTTCACATCGAGGTCCGGAAACACCTCAACATCCGGGTTATTCTGGAAGACATAGCCGCGTGCTTCAGCAGTTTCTTGGTCGGGAAAATTGAAGGTCTTTAAAAGGTCAATTTTGGAACCGTCTGTGTCGCTATCAGTGTTGGAAGACGCATCTGTGTTCCAAGAGTCGTAATCGTTAGTAGAAATGTTGTATCTGCAAAGTTAATATTTATAATGATATAAAAATGATAATTAGAATATTATTTTGAAGAGGAATTTCCTTTAACTGTTCTCCACAAACACCTCAGCGCTATGTTCATATAAATTATATAAAAAATTCTAAGACCGATCAACAAAAAATTCTAACTGCATATACTAAATTCTCAAACAAGGCAAGTTAAGGGTACTATAACGGATAAAAAAAATTCGCAAAAATTATTCTCGTGACTATTATTTGTGTTTTATTTGCTGAATAGCATCAAATAAATCATTTCATGTTTTTTTCAATTATTTCAAGAACCAATTACCTCATCCGTAAGACGCATTTCTCATGAGCAATACCCTCCGGAATTACCCAATCGTATGTATTGAAATTTCCTCCAATCCCGTTGCCGTTGTGGTTGTCACGTGACCAGGGAGCCTTGATACACTGTGGCGGCGGAAGACCATGTGCAGGAAACTCAGTCCACTGTGCACCTACCGATCTTCCGCGTATTTTGAAGTTCTAAAGAGCCAAGAAAGAAGAACGAATTACGTATGTCGTATATCAAAAATTAAAGCCAAAAAATGTTCCTTTTACATGTGGCGTGCTTCACCCCCCCCCCGGAAATGATTGACACTTACCTCACAATCCTCTTTGTTGTCTGGGATGACAATATTCCTGCGATAATATCTATTCAGCTGGTTTCTGTCGATGACACACGACCATCTGGACTTCACATTGAAACTCTCTTGCTGGTAATAGTCGCAGCGTTCAACGTCATTGGTCAAGACGGCAATGTCCTAAATATATTAAAACATGAGATCGATGGTGAAGCCGAAAAGGGGCACAGAAGGTCACGTGCACCCCCCCTCCCCCCCCCACCCCCGGTTCGAACGTACACCGCCTCCCTCAGCAAAAAGAGTATAACGAGAAATTCAAGACAAAACCAAAATTGATATTAGTATAAATAAAGAGCCCATGCTCTAAGGGAAGCATGTAAGTGACTCAACTATTTGGGCGATTTACGGCCTTGAGTTTGTTCCCAGTTTGGACACAGTGTGTTGTTACATCAAAGCTGAAGTTAATTATAATAAACATGAACATGAAGGCCTACCTTCCAAGGGGAGTGGTGCCAATAGGGATAGTAGTCTCTCTCTTCTGGACATTCGTAACCACGTTTAGTGCCACCTGCGTTCTGTCTTGTGTATCTAGCATCATTGCGCCCAAGGTTCTTAGAAAAATGCATATATTGAAATTAGATTAGATTTGGTGGTTAAAATCCATAACAAGGTTTGGTGCGATCCGTATTCTCTCTTGTACGCGTATTTTAAGTCTGTGTGTGTCTTTACCTTCGTACATGTATATATAAACCCCTTCCCCATGCTCTCTCTCCAAAAATGAGCACAAAGAGACAAAAATAATTTCTTATCCCAGTGCCCTACCCGACAAGTCATAGTAAAACGTGCTCGTCTAATTTACTCGGCAAGATTTTCCTTGTGAACAGCAGCGTCACATTATTCCCAATGAAAAGGAAAAACGCGCGCAACTGCATCAGCGATAAAAAGAAGCCCTTGCCTACCTGATCTGCCAAGAAAAGCCCCTGGTTTCTACGCCTAGTGCGACAGTACAGATAGTGTTGCCATTCTTCGTGCATCCCAAAGCCTGTATTTCGGTCCTGGTTGTCCCGAATCGTCCGAGTCGTTCTTCCGTCTCTGATCTTGTCATCGCACATGTACTGCAATATAAGCTCGCAGTTAGCGTTCTGGTCCGCGCAGCTGTGCTGGTTAGCCCTTAAAAGAATGAGAAGAATACCCATGACGAAGACGCAGATGATGATGATGATGATGATATTCCAACTATTTCTACTACCATTAACGATATCAAATAACGATAAAAATTACAACAAAAAGGGCGTAATTCTACATCCATATTGTAATAGAAATAAAAGTGATAAATCATTCAAAGATATGTAAGGAACAATGAACTTTTTACATATAAAATTTCCTTCTGTTACGTATTTCAACTTTTAGATCATTTACTGATATTCAGCAAATTTGATTTTTTTATTTAAAACTGCTGAGGTTCGAAAAAATGTTAGTGGGTGCACTGTAAAAACAGTGTTTAGCATTTAAATACATACAACACACGTTAGGCGCCTATACGCATTTAGAAATCTGTGTAAATGCTAAACGCGTATAGCTTTTCAAACGTTTCACAGAAGAAAAAGCTAGACACGTTGGCATTGTTACACGTTTAGCTATGCGTTTAGCTTCACCGGAATACGATTCTATAACAAGTCTATCACAAGCTTAGCACATTGGCTAAGCACTTCCCTGCTAAGCGCGTGAGGCTGCTAAACATATGGAGCTGCTATAGGTGTGGAATTCCTTAACGCGTGGAGCTGCTAAACAACATGTTTAGCTTTTCAAGTTCGTCACAGAAAAAAATGCTTCTCAATCCCATATATACGATCCCATAACAAGTTTATTACAAGACTCAACAATTTTGCTTAACACTTCCCTTTGTAAACATATGGAGCTGTTGGAGGCGAGAAGCAGCCTGCTCGAACGCGTTGTGTCCTTCCTTGCAGTAACGTGTGATTATTTAAAATAGGCATATTAAGTAATAATCCAAATAACAAATAACGTTTTCACGACGTTATCAGCTGGTTACATGATGGTGATGGTATAGAATAACGTCATGGTAACGTTATGGGTGTTTTTAATTCCATGCAAAATGATGCACTTGCAGTTGTATAACATTCTGGAAAAACATTATTTAATGTTTTGAAAACTTTTTTAATTAATCACCAAAACACGTCTTATGCTGTATGAACTACAGTTAGCGGTTAATTCCAAAATGGGCTTGGGTTAGTCGGCGACTAGAGCGGTGCGATTTGCAAAATATTCGGACTATCTTTACCAAAATAACCAGCATGTGATGAAAGCTTAAATAAACCATTATAATGAATACCCCACCATCATCCTGATGTTCTATTGGTCATTACTTCCGGAAAAAATAAATGAACATCAATACCTTAACGCATTTTATCAAAATATGAAAAAAAATGTTTTAAAGTAAAAGTGATAGTTGTTTCCGTGGTTGTTTCGTGTCTTTAGTAAACTAGTGAATTTTCCTAACTTGTTTTTCAGAAATATATTCCAATTAACTTCCTCGCAAGGTCAGCTAACACAAGGATGAATAAGTCCCGCTGTAAAGATGATGGTGTGAATCAACTATGTTGACAGTTCACGGTACCCTGTTATAGATAGAGATAGCTATAGCAGTTAAAGGTGCCTAACGTGTGTGTGTGTAGTGACTGAAACAGTTGAAAACGTTACAACCTTAAAGTTAAACAAATACACCCTACGGTTATTAGGCGTCAAGCACGTCAAAGCGTGTAACATGTTAATAGGCTAAACGTGCTTAGGTGCTAAACGCGTGGAAAAAAAGAGACAAAACAGGCGCTTAGAAATGTGTCTCGGAGCTAAACACTGTTTTTACAGTGTGCTTTCGACCTTGACCTCCTTATCAACAGATACAATGAAAAATATCCCTTTGACCGAGTCAACTTTTTTCACCGGTATACATGAACATGTTAAAATAAAATGTAAGCTCGGATAAAAGAAAAAAAATGACCTTTGCACAATGAATGAAATTTAAATAAGCCCATAGAACAACTATCAAGAAAAAAAGAAAAAAAGAGAAAAAAAACACATGAACATCCAATCAAAAACGAAAATAGCTCTACTTAAAACTGTTAAAAATTTAACATCATGAAACAGAAATAGCATTAAAGAAAAAAGATGAATGAAACTAATTGGCCCGATGAGCCAAGGGTGACCGTAAAATACAGCCCCATCTACAACGATTAAAATGAATAAATAGCAGGTGCTTGGCCTTTATTAGTAAGGAATAGAAATAACAACGTACCACTCTATGCTAAGTGTAGATCCCTCGTAGTAGTACATAGGGTCTCCCACATTGTATCCACCGCGGTTGTTATTTTGGGAATCGAATAACCTGGAATAATATTTGAAAAAATGCGATTGCCTATTGATTTCTCAAAAACGCATTTACTTTTGTTCATTTTGCAGATTAAGAATTTTGCAGCTCATCTTCTCTGACCCTTTAACAATGTCGAATACAGCTGGACATTACCATTTCTCCCTCTGTCAAAAATAAATTTGATAAGCAAAACGAGACAAAAAACAAGCTATTTTTCATCCCTGTATCTTACAAATCGTGGTTAAATCGCCCCGTCTACAACATTTTATTAGAATTGTTTCGCTTAGCAAAATATACATGTAGATTCTTGCGGATGCACACACAATGCATCATGGTTAAGTAAACTGATTTCTCGTCTTTCTAGCTAGAGACAAAAAAGTACAATTTTGCAAAAAAAAAAAAAAAGTTAACCGTTACCTCTTGTTATTTCTCACTTCCCGACCATTACCATTCAGTCTGTTATTGCTTCCTCTGGAAAGAGTAAAAAAAATACGTAAGTGTGTGTGTGTGTGTGTGTGTGTGTGTGTGTGTGTGCGCGCGCGTGTGTGTGGTTGTGTGAATATACACCAGCTGTAATGATCCCATTTAGAGGTACTGTAACAAGCACAGGATTAATTACGAAAGATTATAATTTACGAATTTTTCTGAGGTCCTCAAGTATATGTCACACCTAATGACTTATATCTTATCGAAATTCAAAACTTAAAAAACCGGTAGATATGCACTTTAAAGTAATGTCTTCCTCAACTGTAGTAAGTAAGATTTATTTATTGATTGATTGATTTATAAGATTGATTGATTTATTTATCTATTTATTGCTATATAAAGGTGTAATAAACATTGCATCCCTTTGTGTTGCGCCTCACGGACGAATCATGCAAACACGAAGGCCTGCGCTTCTTTTTAAAAATGACCACAAGTGAAAGTTGGGAGGCTTTGATATCTGCAGACATTTCAAGGTTCAGAAAACACAAGAAGGAAGGCACAAAGAGTTATAATACCTTAAAATCAACCAACTGTCCGCATCAAACGTCCTGAAATCCTTTACCAAATTAATGACGCACATGACTGCTTAAGTAAAGAACGACGTAAATAAGCAGAGGGCATTGGATATGGATTATGTAACAGAATGATTCGGGATCTATATGCCTATTGTCCTCACTGTCACGATTCTGATGTCAGTGTAGGCCTATGTGAAAATCTGTAAGTTATCTTTATTAATTAATTTAATTTTTTTCTATTGGCTAAGTTCCAAGCATCGATTATTATTTGTTTTTCATTTTCTATATATGCTCCATAAAAACGAAATTATGGAGGAAAATACTTGGGGATAGGCCAAAATTGGATGCTGGTGTTAATATTTGCACCGCCTGTGGTACTTATAAAAAAACTTACTCAAGGAAACTGTTAACAATCTATTAAGATCCTCGATTCCTTTAAATATATCTGTAGGGGAACGTTAATACCACTATTTGGGTTAAATTCCCTGTATGAAACCAACCTCAGCAATGAGAGATGTAGAATAGGATTGATCACAGAGTCAGATGCATCGAGAGAGAGAGAGAGAGAGAGAGAGAGAGAGAAATATGGTGCTGAGATACGCCCATCTCTGTCATAATTCTAAAATCGTGGCGCTTACATGAATATCAGGAACAAAAACGAAGATTTCAGATTAAAAACTAAAAACGCCCTTAAAGTTTGGGGTTCCACAAGCGTTGGTTAAAGATATAGGCAGTGGATAACATGTTCATATATACGATCAATTATTAGGAAAAAGCACCAAAAAGAAACACCAAATTGAAAATGTCTTACCTTGGATTGGTGATATACAAATCACCATGTGTCAAAACCACACAGCACAGAATGAAGCCCAGCCTCTTCATTTTTCTTGCTGATCGTTCAAAGTGAAATTTAAAGGTTGCGAAATTAATCCCAATGATCCATTTAAATAGTTCCTATCACTCCAGCATTCCGTCTTCGCACGAAAATCTAGTCCATCAGGCTTTTTGCATAGTCAGATAATCTTTATTCATTTTATTTTCAATAAACCGGATTACTGACGGTTCTTTTCGCAAGAAAAACGAGTGCTGGGGTACGCCTTTGATTAAAGGACGTCCACTCAAGAAGACGGCTTTCTTTGGTCTAGACTGTGATTGGATGACAACCAAGCGGTCGTTGCCCTTCACTTGACTTGGTGAAAATCAGGAACGTTTCACACACTTTTGCATTTAGTGTATTATTTTTCAGACAAATCGTAAAGACTTTAGAAACTGGGACATAAGCCTTATATGTTGGCTATTCTGTGCTTTATTTTCTTAATGAATACAGAGGAACGGTGAAATATGACATACCTCTCTATCGTTAAAAAGACAGCTTCTTACCCCACGGACAGTTAACATCGACCTGACGCAAGAGAACGACAAATATAACTGATATATCAATATATATGTCAACCAACAAATATTAAACGCATGAATTAACCCTGAATTAAAATCTGTGACTTTAGCGATAGTGATGTGTGTGTGTGTCTTACGTCTTTATTTTTGTCTTTTTATTTTCAAACACACTGTGCTGTGTACGTCTTTTGCTCCGATAAGCTTGCACGCATTTGGGCCTTAATGTTCTAGGTGACGTTGGATGACAAAATCGAATTTTTATTTCTCTTCCATACATTATCCTGCTGATGCAGTGCACTCTACTTGCCTATGGCACAGATAAATATAAGGCATAATAACCACCAACGATCCATGCACGGAGTAAAGTGGTTTAACTAAATAAAGTGCGGCTTCTCATGTATATGCAATCAGTGCAATGTGCTCTCTCTCTCTCTCTCTCTCTCTCTCTCGTTGTGATAGTCCAGAAGACTCAAAACACATTAAAAAGTGCACTAATGCACTAACTAGTATCATAGAACAGTTGTGCAGTTGAATGTGCTTTTTTGTATTGTTTTTGAAAAAGGTCCGCATCACGCCTCAGTAGAAAAAAACGTTAAATCTTTGCTGAAATCTGCATCATCATGCTGAGAAAGCTGAAGCTTTGAGAGTGATTCAGAAGAGCATGTGCGGTTTCTTAAAATCACACCCCATGTGCATAGCACGTCCTATGAGATAGGAAAAACAAAAACACATTACAACAAGCTAAACGAGGACGAACAAAGCCAATTTTTTTCTATTTCGGTGACCTGCAAAGTTCAGTAAATTTTACTAATCTGTTATTTCACATTTGCACATAGCTTCGCTTAGAAAAAAAAGGTTCTACCCTTGTGCCCTCCCCTCCCCTTCAAGAAATTATTCTGAATCCACAGAGGAAAGCTCCAAGCAGCCACGTGCCTGTCGCGGTCAGACACGACACACAGGAGGAAGTGAAGGGGCACATTCAGCACATACAGGTTGGTTTTATGGAGAAAAATCTGTAACTAAGAATGATGCAATTCTGACTCATATCCGAATTATTTCACTGTGGTCAGGACTAGTCGTGATGAAAGTTTGCTGTTTTGCCTATGATAAAAATATTTGCTGGACCAAGACCAATGCCAACGTGAATTACCTCAAGTTCCGGCACTCTTCGTTGACGCACGTATGCACTCATTCTCAATATATAGGACCATTTAATTTTTTATTTCATTAAAAGTAAGCAAGCGGAAGAATTATTTGTCGAGGTAGAGCTTAATTAAGGTGAGTCTAGCAACTTACAAAGTAAAATTATAATTAGCACATTTATCTGTTCTCACACAAACAACATAAAAGGGTTTAATTTGAAATCTTCCTTACAATCGCTCGCAGAATCATCTGTCATCCGCCAATCGATCTAGTTCATTTTTACTAAAGTAGAAAATCTGCAACTTTTCAGGAAGCGAGTGTGTAAAGACCAGTAAATGCATTGTATGTTTATTTTTTAGTAGCTCGATAAATAGCTTGAGGCTAAAAACTGAAAGCCCTTCGTTGCGGTTTTTGGTGCACCACGTCATTATTTTTAGTTGCTTGATGTTTTTTTTTTTTTTTTTTTTTTTTTTTTTTGTATTTATACCCATAAAGAAAATCATCAATTTAGTTTCATCCATTATTCGCAAGAGAATATAGTGATAGGACACAGCTGTAATAGAGGAAACACGGCAAAACTGCATTCACATAGAAAATAATTTGCAAACCTTCGTTACCTGGCATTGTGAAAATATATTTTTGAGCTTGAGGACAAAATGTGCAAGTAAAATAAATATGCATCTCGTAATACCCCTTCAGCGCGGTCTAATTGTTAGTATTTTTAATATTAAAATATCGTGCGAATATTATCCAAAAGGGTTATTTTTAACACTTTCGTTACCAAAATAGACTAAACCTTCGTTACTTCATCCCCACACTAGCAAGGCACGAATCTTTAGGATTTAAGAAAATCCTAGATTTAGCATTTTCTGTCATCATAGATTTAGAAAAGAGTAGAATCCATGACTATCTTTAATTTCATATTTTACTTTTCCGTTTTCTTCAAATGGATCTGTACACTGAGAATAAGTGTTAATGTATGACAAGTTGGAATTATTTGAATTTGCAGGTTTTAAGCAGTAAACAGTGCGGTAAAGGACAGTAATTTTTATCCATTTCTGTTATTTTTTTCACAACAAAAAAGCATATCATAGGCAGTACTCCAGAACATTATAATCTCTCATTATAATCTTTCGTGTGAAAATCATTTAAGCCAGTATTTATCATTATAATCGATTTTCGATTTTTATATTTAGGGTCTAAAGAGTAAGATAAAGTAGAAAGAAATCCGTCTGTGTTGTCACTTTTTCCAATTACTTCTCAACTGATGCTTCTAAAATGAATATGCGAACACGAATCTTAAAAACAAAAAAAAAAGGAAAAATGCTGTCTGGTACTCCAATTTCTTCATTTACGTAGTCTGTCATTGATTTGGCACCCAAAATCACGAAAAAGGCCAACCCCCTTGCCCTTGGGGAAACAGACTGTAAACGGACCTAGATACAAACATCCAGGCTATATAGATATGTCGACGTCACTATTTTACGGTACTGAACATATTCAATCTACTACATTCTACTAAAAACAAATACTCCACATAAAAGCTAAAGTCCTTTTATTTCGTCACAAGTAATACGTCATAAAAGATCAACCAAAATTAAGAAAAAAATCTTTGGATGCCATTACATAAAACCATTTTTTCTAAGACAAATGTTTGTGGTAACTGGATAATTCGAAACAAAAATTCCCCTGCTGCGCGTTGGGTGTTCGTAGAGGCTACAGATATAAGAACAGCCCATATTTTATCAAAGCGCCATTACATCTACTTCGCAGGTGCATCCCTAGTGATGATTCTTCCCTTCTGGCTTCTGTTAGTGAAGGCATTGTTTCTGGTGCACATAAAGTTAAGTACACCGGCTTTACTAAACTGCAGTGGCCCTGTGTCAAAGTATGTACCAGCGTCGTCCAACTGAGACATCTCTCCGCCATATTGGGCTAAAAAGAATGAATTTTCAAAATGGTGTTTATTTTTTGCGAATATTAAAAACGTATTAGATTGAATAATATAACTGTTTTCAATCTTTGAAGCGTTGTTGCCATAGAAAGCTTTAAAGGGAGTGGTAACAGTTCATTAGTTTAAAGTGTATTCATATAAAAGCATGGCATATATTAAAAACATGTACTAGGGTTTCAGTAATGCCAAATAATAATGTTCCCTAGGTGTCAGCAGTGTCAAATAACAGTACTAACTAGGTGGCAGCAGTGTCAAAAGATAATACTCACTAGGTGTCAGAAGTGCCAAACTTTGTAAGAGTTCCATAGATGCCCCAGTAAGGTCAGAAACATTTGTCAGGTGCATGGGATAGTTGTTGCCCCATTGACCGACAACGTCAAGTCCACCGAAAGCGGCGCCGGGCGTTCCCTCGGGGTAGTTTTTGTTCCTCAACATGACCAGGTTGTTGCGGTCAGTACCGGCAAGCCCATTTCCGGCGTTGTTTCGCGGGTTCCTGTTGGACCCGGTCCACCTGTTGAGAAATACATATTAATGTCACAATCCTTCATTGTCTGTGATACATTTTATTTTATTTTATTTTATATAATCAAAATAAAGACAGAAGTGTAAATTTTCGTTTCACACTTAAATAATTGCCAATGAAAATATTAATAAATCACGCACAGGTAAAATAGTGGAAATATAAAAAGTAGAACAGAAATGAAAAAGCACTCCCCTTTTCAATACCAATACCAAACAATGTACCACTGCGAAAAAATACCTTATTAAAAACATGGGCCTTTTACGATTAAGCTGCGTTTGAGACCTTGCGTATGGAGTGTGTGGCGGGGATTTCAATGTCATCAGTGACTTTACATGAGACTACATTGTGTACTTACTGAATATGTATGTAGTCGTTTGTGTTGATCTCCAAGGTGTTGGGGACATAGTCGTACTCCACTGCTGGGTACACCTGTTGGTTGTTACCACGTTTTCCTCTCACGTTCAAATTGTGGATAGTAACGCCTTTGAGTTCATCAGGTCTTTCTCTAATGGCAAAAACGTGTGACCTAAGTTGAATAAGAAATAAACATGGTTTAGTTAGGACAATTAAATATTGTGCGAATATCAAGAGGCAAATCTGCAAGCTTCTTAAATCTATGCCTCAGAAAAAAGAACGCACACGTAACTATCATAGTAATATTGGAGAGATATTAAGATTTTCGTTGTATTTCTGTTGTAGAACGTCACAAGAAGAACACAAAGAGCCATTCACTCCTCTTGCGTATATACTAGAACTAAAAAGGAAAAAATTACGGCAACGAGGAGCGAGTTAACGTCCCATTGGGAATTTTAATAAATACCTTTTAAAATGTGTCATCATTTTATTTTGTAATGTTAGTAATAATCTTGACCGGATATTTTACCTGTCCTGGAAGGTACGTCCAAATTGTGCGGTGTTGATGGCAAGCGCTAAATTCACACCGAGGTCGGGAAAGATCTGCACTGTTGGGTTATTCTGGAAGATGTAGCCTCTATTCCTCGCGGCGGCCTCGTTTGCGA